TTTGGAGATTTTACAACAAGTTGAAGATGGAAGACCAAACTGTGCATTTTTGCCATATTTTACTGTTTTACTTCCATAAAGGGAAGAACGCGCGTCAAGCTAGTGAAAAGTTGCATCAAGTTTACAGTGACAATGCTCTACAAGAACGTCAGTGCCAACGATGGTTCACGAAATTCCGTGCTGGTGATTTTAATCTCAACAACGCTCCTCGGTCAGGGAGGCCCACCGAGGCTGATGACAAAATAAAGGCATTGATTGAGTCAAACCCATGTTATACGACACAAGAGATTGCAGAAACATTGAACATCCATCATTCAAGCGTTCACGACCACCTGAAGAAGCTGGGATACGTAAGCAAGCTCCATATTTGGGTTCCACAAGAACTCAGAAGTTCATTTGACGGCGTGTATAAACATCTGCAATATGCTCATTAAACATGAGGAAAACGATCCTTTTTTGAAGCAACTGATAACTGGTGATGAGAAGTGGATTGTTTACAACAATGTGGTGTGCAAACGGTCTTGGTCCCAACGTGATGATTCGCCTCAAACGACATTGAAAGCAGACAGCCATCAGAGGAAGGTTATACTCTCAGTGTGCGATTTTAAAGGTGTCGTATTTTTCGAGCTCCTACCAAGGAACCAAACATCAATTCAAATGTGAACTGTTGGCAATTGGACAGTTTGAACAAATCTATCATCCAGAAAAGTCCAGAGCTTGTTAATTGCAAAGGAGTTGTGTTCATCGCGACAACACGAGACCACACACGAGTTTGATCACACATCAAAAATTATTGGAGCTTGGATGGGATGTTTTGCCACACCCACCATACTCGCCTGACCTTGCGCCGTCAGACATCCACTAGTTTCGCTCTCTTCAAAACTCCTTGCATGGTATAACGTTCAATTCAGATGAGACTATAAGTCAGCACCTTGTTCAGTATTTAGCAAATAAAGACAGGTCCTTCTAGGAACAAGGAATTATGAAGCTCACTGAAAGATGGCAAAAGGTTATTGAACAAAACGGGCAATATATCATTGATTGATCTTTCTTCTTTATATAAATAAATGACCTTTGAAAAACATAGACAAAATACATCATGACTTTTCCGACAACCCAATACGTTTCCCCTAGGACAGACGCCCCTTGGGGGATCTTTGTGTGTATTTTCACCACTGTAAACCTGGTCCTAGAACAATGCCTGGCAATTATAGATGCTTCATAAAAATTTGTTGAATGAATTTTTTTAATTGAGATTACAGTGTATATAATTTTGTACACTCTTTTTTTCACTGAACTTTATATCACAAACACCCTTGTCTTCTGATATTCTTTGAAAGCATATTTTTTAGAATGGCTATATATAGATAATCATAATTTTTAACCATTCCCTATTATTGGATATTTAAGGTTATTTCCTATTATTTTATAGTTCTAAATAATGCTGAGATATAAATAAATCTTTATCTGTATTTTTATCTTTATTTTAAAAAATAATGTATTAGAAATGAATTTACCTCTTGGGTTGGAAGGCTTTTCCTTGTGCTTTCTGGAAACACTGATGTATTTTTTTTACTCACAGTTTTAAAGGATGCCAGGCGATGACGTGCTTGTTTCATGGTTTGACTAAGCTGCCAAGGAAAGGGGAGGGAGGGGAGGCAAACAAAAACAGGCTAAAGTCTCTTTTTATATTATTATTATGTTTTTTTTAGTTTCAGGTGTACAAAACAATGTAATAGTTAGACATTTACACCCCTCTCAAAGTGATAACACCCCCCAATCTGACATCAAATATAGTTGTTACAATTCCATTGACTATATTCCCTATGTTGTATTCCACATCCCATGACACACACTCTCTCCCTCTCNCCGTAAGTTGCCGGCGACGGCTTAGGCTGCAGCCCCTGTGGCAGTGGGTTGCCATGGGCTACCATGTGTAGCCAGCAGCCAGGGTGAGCGGCCAGCAGCCGCAGTGAGCATCCGTCCAGAGGCTGGCGAATGATCTGCCTCGCCTGGGAAGAGCGCAATGATGGTGCCAACTTGGGCCGGTGGGGCGGCGTCCTCCACAACTAGACTGAAGAACAGGACGACAGCAACTTATCTGTTCCCCTTCCCCCAATTCCCCAGCACTGTTCCCATCCCCCCAATACCCCAATAAAAATCTTAAAAAAAAAAAAAAAGTTAAATGACAACCCACTGAATGGGAGACAATATTTGCAAATTGTGTATCTGATAAGGGACTTGTATCTAGAATATATAAAGGACTCTTACAACTTGATAATAAAAAAACAAATAAACCAATTTAAAAATGGACGCCGCATTTGAATAGACATTTTCTCCACAAGAAACATAGAAATGGATAATAAGCACATGAAAAAAGATACTCAAGATCATGAGTCATTAGGAAACTACAAATCAAAAGTACAGTGAGAAACCACTTCACACCCACTAGAATGGCTATAATAAAAAAGATTGACCATAACAAGTATTGCAAAGGATGTGAAGAAATTGAAACCCTCATATTTTGCTGATGGAAAACAGCTTGGCAGTTCCTCAAAATATTAAACACGAATTTATCATATGACTCAGGAATTCACTACAAGAGAAATGAATGTCTACAAAAGAACATGTACACAACTGCTCAAAGCACAATTATTTATGAAAGCCAGTAAGTGGAAACCCAAATGTCCATCAACTGATGAATGGATATACCAAATGTGATATAGCCATACAATGAAATATTACCCAGCAATAAAAATAAAGCATTGACACATGCTACAACATGGATGAATCTTGAAAACATTATGCAAAGTGAAAGAAGCCAGTCACAAAAGACCACATATTATTATTCCATTTACATGAAATACCTAGAGTAAGCAAATTTACAGAGACAGACAGTAGACCAGTGGTTTCTTAGGACTCAAGGTAGAGACAGAGAAGGAATTGGGAATGACAGCTAATGGATATAGGGTTTCTTTTAGGGGTGAAGAAAATGTTCTAAATTAGATTGTGGTGACAGTTGCACAACCCTATAAATATACTAAAAACCATTTAATTGTGTACTTTAAATGGGCAAATTGTGTAGTATGTGAATCATATCTCAATAAAACTGTTAAAAAAAATACTAGACGTTACAATCTTAATCCTTAAACCCATCGTTTATAGCTGTGGACAGTTATAACAAGACATTACCTTTTCCCCTCTACTCTTTACATTTCCCTACCTGATTTTCCACAAATTTCTGGTAATATACAGTATTTAAAAGACCTTGATGGAACTTAAAGGGTAATTCTCCTCTTGTTTCTATATGTATCCTGATGGATGCTAGTTTCCTACAAAGAGCTTTCTGGAAAAAAAATCAATACAAATATAAGTGGTCTAGAGAAAGTAACATACTCATGATACTAAGTTGAGTTTTTGTGAAAGATCTGGAATGATCTTAGCAGGTTATGGTAGTCTAATATAGAATAAAGGAAAACAAATAGTTCTATTTCAAATGTACGAACAAGTCACTCACACATCTAACATATGGAGTGAAATAGGCTGGTAGGAGGTATATTAAGTTTATAAATGACAATTTGCCCCTATTCTAGCTAGTAACAATTCGGAAGGCTCATGATTTTTGTCTTGGTGACCTGACAGCAGGCAAGCAAGTATATCTTCTATTTGTATCTCCAGATCTGGAAAAACAGTAACGAGACAGATTCTGATGTCAGTAAAAATAAGTTTAACAAGGAAATGAAACCAGAGTTCAACTGGGTTATAGATTGTTCTCTTTCCTAACTGGAAGATTCCCACTTCATTTAACTCACGAGGTAGAAAACTGTTCAGATTTGAGGGAAAGACTACACACTTGATCTGATCTAAGTGATGAGAAAAACTTCCTAATTTCTTAGATCCTTCTCAATTATAGAGATTGGTTTCTGATGTCATACCTGAGAAATACACATGCATTCTTTGGAAGCAAGCAGCCAGCCTGAATTCATCATCGTAATAATGTATTACACTTAAATGGCACCTTTGACATATAAAACTGGTTTATACAAGGGTGTTTGTTATTTTAGACTTAATCCTCCTTCCTTCTCCTAGATAATTGTTTTAGTCAGACCTGTGAACAGTACTTTTTCTGGAAAAACAATTGAAAGGTCTGAAATGTTCCACACAATATAAAATATCAATCTCTAGGCTCTGATAACCCTTTTGCTTCTGGTTTCTTAGAATGTGTCCCATTGCCTCATTCTAACAGTACCCTGGAGTCAGTCTAATAGTATGGCCAAATCCCAGGTAGGTATAAAAATTGTCAAGATACCAAGCCACTGAGAAGAATTTAGGTACAAAAGAAACTCTACCTTGAGTCACAACAAGGCAATGCTAGAAAAAGGTGATCATACTGAATGCATCTAAGATGGAATGCCATATATAAACACACACCCATGCCTGCTTGTATTTTTATATTTAACTATAAATTTCTTAGTTATCACTGAAAAGAGACATTACAGTTTAGTATTCTACCAACTGCAAACATGCAAGACAAATGTTTTTGATTGTTGTGTTGAGATAATTAAGGAAAAAATACAAAAATAAAATACATATGTATAATCTAGGAAAATGTAAAAGAATACTAATTAATTTAGAAGCAAAACTGAGAAAGAACTAAATAAGACACAGAATTGATCATGGAGAAAAAACAGAGTAAAAAAGACTAATGATCCATTTTTCTAATAGATGCCTATCAAAACTTAAAATTAATCCCAAAATTAAGTAAACACTGGAGAAAAGTACATGAGTTTAGCATCCAAATTTGTGACCAGTGAAATAAGTAGGCACCAAAACAATGTTATTTTACAAGTATAGCCTTAAGTATCCTTTAAAATCTAGTTCCACATTTGAATTCCCATTTTTCTATCTTACCTTATATTTTGAATCAAAAGAATTTCTTTCTTTTTAAAAAATAATGGTATTGATTTTTCCATAATTAGAAAGCAAAATATATGCATTATGGAAAAATTTTAAAGTAAAGAAAACCAATAGAACAGCGGTTCTCAACCTGTGGGTCGCGACCACTTTGGGGGTCACAGGTCGCCTAAGACCATCGGAAAACAAAAAGATATTTACATTACAATTCATAACAGTAGCAAAATTACAGTTATAGAGTAGCAACAAAAATAATT